ATTACTCCCTGTTGTTGATGTTTTCCGTGAATGTTATTGACCTAGTAGCTGGTAAAAAAAAAAAAGGACCTTAACAAATTCAATTTGATAAATTACATTTGTACAGTTTTGCTCGTTCATTGTTATTTTTGAAAGTTTGATGACAACTTTTAAAAGTTTTTTTCTTATTTCAGGAAATGCGACAAGCGCTATGCACTGTTATTGGCATTTGTTCGTGCTCTTTGATCGCTGTTCAAGCTGGTAATGGCTGTTTTTTTAGAACTTTCTTTTAGAACTCTTAAAATCTTTTAGAACTTTCTCTTTAACTGTTAATTTTATTCATTAAAGATTAAAAAAATTTTCTTTTTTGCATCGTCAAGTTCTAAATCGATCAACTTTTACTAGGAATATCATTCTTGTTTTGGAATTCATTTAGATTTCGGAAATAATTATTATTCCAAATCAACTGAATACCATTTGGAATTGTTGGATTTCTTGAAATCTATAAAGATATTCGTTTGTAAAGTGTTTCAACAAATGGAACAACAATTCCGGAAAAAGTTTGAAAAAGGATTAAAAAATTTTTGAATGTTCAGAACGAGTTCAGTGTGGTGGAATAATATCTGCGGAAACAAGACGATATATAAATGCATATGTCTGTCCGACAAAATATCATCGTGAAAAAGAGAATCGATGCTGCAATCCGCCTGAGTTTAATTGTTGTCGTGAACCGACAATTCTCGAGAATTAGTGAGCGCTTTTGTTTCTTGTTGATAATGGAGCTGATAATATGTGTCACGGTGATAATGGTGTAATGATAAGAAAAGAAGTGAGGAAAAATAAGCCTTAGATTGTGATTCAAGTTTCGAATTACAGTAGTTGAGGAGAAAATTTTAAACTCAAAAGATGGGAGTAGTATATGAAAGGGAAAGCATTAATTTACTTCCTCTATTTTAACTTTCATAAAAAACAGATTAACTTAATCTTAAACAGTACATATGTACAGTTTACAATAGCGAATCCTTCTGATTAAATATCAACAAGATTCAATGAAAGGAATCTAATAAAGAATTTCTAGTTTCAAACATTAACAATCAAGAGGAAATGTTGGATTCAAAAGTTTTTTTCTTTTTTTTATTAGGATTAAGAAAGAATGAGGAAGCTTATGCATGAAAAGCTAAACTTAAAATATAGATTGGATTTATAAACGAAAAAAAAAAAAAACTGTCAATTTGTTATATATCAAAAGACGTAGAAATTTATTAGATCGGAAAATGGAAAGAGTATCATGACCTTTGCATGACCTCTTATCATTATCAAGGCAGTGAAATTTTTGATTTGTGTTCGGTCACAGCGAGAAATTATGGAAGTGAAAAACGAATTATTGGAATGTGTCGAATGTGTTAGCTAATTCTCAGTATCTCTAAAAATGTACAGTTTATTTTGATTTACATTTTTAAATTTAAATGTGGTTTGGAAAATTATTAATTTGACAAAATTTCAGTTTAATGGTGCTATTATCCACTGCATTAATTGTTACTTTTGCCTTACTAACAATGCTCATCATAGTTTGTCTCTGCTGGGAGAAATGTTTTCTGCATAAAATTATCCGAAGAAAACCAACGCTTGATTATATCGGTTTGTCTTCTAGAACAAACTATATCATAAAATTTATCACTCTATCATTGATTGGTTTACTTACTAGTGATGAGAGTACTTCATAACTGTTGTACTTATACGACAGATAATTCTCTAAAAAAGGCTTATCATTCCAGTAGTCAAGCTTAATTGGTATATATTTCACCTATTTTATGCTACCTGTATGTTATGCAAAATTTCCGGTTGATATACGATGAAAACATTCTTCTTATTTAAAACTTTTTGAGATATATTCTCAACTTTGTTTCAAAATTAACAATTTTTGGAACTTTTCGGTAATAATGTTAACAAAGTTTCAAAGACTAATTGTTTGTTTTTTATATGAATTTTATAACGTATATTACATTCTAGCTCGACCCGAAGAGACGGAACACCTAAATGGTTTGAGCTTACCAAATGAATACTCCAGTGAAAGGCATACTTATGAAGTGAATACAGATATCATCTATCGACCCAACAAAGATTCCTTATGAAAAATTTGCATTTTGAATTTGTTATAATTTTTGCACCAAAAAGAATACTTCAGAAACAATTTTTAGCAAAAATATTTATTCGCAAATACTGAATTTCTAGCAGAATTTTGTTACATTTGTGACAAAGTCATAGATTATTAATTGCTCAGAGGGTTAGTTATCAAATTGTTAATTTATCACTTCTCTCTATCAATATCACATTAGATTTCACGTTAATTTAACTTTTCTTATGATTTCTGCATACTTTTGTCTAACTTAAACTTTGTCTATCAAGTATAGTAGCCTTTTTTTTGATAGGAAAGTTCCATGAAGAAATTTTGGGAATTTCTCGAAAGATTTCACCTTTTTAACAGTCTTGAAGATAACTTGAGGATTTCACAATTTTGAAAATAAAAAAAAATTTGAAAAGATTACCGGCGCTATCCACGTGCCTTGGTGCGGTAATGCAAATTTATGTGTCCAATGCGAACAAAAAATCAATCCTCGAGAAGAGATATATGATTGTCACCGAATAGTTTATTCATTATATGATCTGATAAGGTTATCATTGATTACATAATTAGTCTTAATTAATGACACTACACACCGGAAGCAATTACACAACTGCACTGAAGATTTTATTTAAGAAAAGCACTACGAATTCAGCAAAAATCATTGTATTACCAATTGTTGTCGTGAGAAAATAAAAGAAAGGGAGTTAAGAAGGTGATGTAGATTGTTATTGTTCGTTGTAGAAGCTGTTATAATTTTAAAGGAATGACTTACAGTGTATCGGTTCGTTTAGTGCTCGCAACTTACAACAGATTATCCTTTATTATCGTCTGGATACTAAATACAGTAAAGACAGGTTCAAATAATTCCAATTACAATAGAATGACTTCCAGGGTAAGGCCAGTAGAATGATGAGATTTTGTAAGGATTAGTGGATTGGAGAGTGTTTGCGTGAACTTGAATGTTGACAGATGGGATTTTTGCAACAATGAATAATTCCTAGGTTTTCTTATGTTTTAAGGAGTGTGTAAGGAGAAAGGAAAGAAATGCGGTGTAAGAAATACGGTGCTTAACAGATATTTAGAGATAAACATGTTGCATATAAACATGTTTATAAGAATAGATATTTCTACAGTATGCCCATCCGTATTTATAAGATTCGTTGTCATCCAGATGTGCGCAAATCTCAACATAAGATAAAGCTTCTTTAGACGATTTAAAGATTAGATAGCTGACTCATGACCTTAGTAGGTATGAGAGAGAAAAAGCAGATGTAAATAGAAACTATTTGAATGAATAATTTCATGATACAATTATTTCGGTTTTTACGACAATTGTAACCTTTCAATTTCATATGTTAATTCCTTTTGCTCCTAATTAATTATACAGAATAAAAATAAAATCTTAAAAAAATTAACAGAAAAGAGAGAGTGATCACCATTGATAAACTGCTAATAGAAAAGAAAGGATTACGAAAGTTTAACTTATCAAAGCCATAATATTTTCAATAAATATCTCAACGCTTATCGAATTGTCCTTCAACATTTGTCTATCGAATGGTACGAAATGTTCATAGTCATATAATTAGTGTTGATTGAAAAACAATTTAGCAAATGGTTCAAATTTGCCATCTTTTTTTGTATTAATAATAGATAGAATTCGGATTATTCATTAGCATTTGCATTTTTCATTTTTGAGATTAAAATGAAATTAATTTTGGTGAGAATTGCCAAACTTTAAATCAATAACATCTGTCAAAACTTTCAATCGATAATGAAGCAGAGTAAGGTGACACTGTGATAATGGAAAAGATTGATTTGCAAAAAAACTCATGTTGAACGGATACTTTTTGATTTCAACAGTAAAAAAAAAAAGGACAACTATAAATAATTCATTATTACTGTTAACTAAAAAAGAAATTTGAATAAATTAAAATTTGAAAATTACTAATTAGTGATCCTTAATATGAAAAAAGGATCTTTATTGCCCTTGATAATACTTGCACCATATTCATTTCGTATTTATCGTCCAGTAATAACAATAATTACAATGTACCGGTGAATTCATAACATTTGTTAGGGAGACTGAGCATAAAGCCTAAGCCTATGCTTATAGCTGATGTTGTTGGACTATCGAATTGCCGTTTTTCGCCGTTGAATCGTTGTCAAATTGAATACTTGGTTAAGCTGTCGCCTTGAGTGCTTTGCGTTAGCTCTCCGATTGAATAACTCAGCAAGCTGTCGAATCGAAAGACTACTCGAGCTTTTGAACTTGATAACTGACCACTAGGAGGATAACTGACCCTAGCCCCATTACTAGCATAACTACCACAGTAGAGATCCTTTATAAGATTTCGATATTTGCGTATAAGTTCATTACAACATTTCAACAACAATTACACGTAAATTTGATTAACAGATTGGAAACAATTTACATCAAAGGGTTAAAAAATTGGAACAGATGGATTTGAATGAGTGACTCATCACTTTAAGTATCAAGATATTTATTTCATTAATTATGTATAACGAGTCTACTTATTTGGGAAGTATTCTGAATT